TCAAGAAAGAAAATCAACTCCTTCAAGGTCGGTCCAAGAAAAGTAAAGAAGAAAACTAAAGAAAAGAACAACCAGTGGGATTCCACCAAGATTGTTTCTGATATATATCTTGGGTTTGATAGCGTAGCCGCAAGTGTGCATGCCGTGTGAGTGGTCAACAAGCGCTGTTACCGTGCACAGTCTTGAAGCATCGCGTTCGTGAGTGCTTGGCAGTGGATGTTTCAGCGAATTCTTGTTCGTGAATTACATCCAAGAAGAATTAGTGTTTAAGCGATTAAATCTTGTGGTAAGATTTGTATATAATTTCTTCGTGAGATTGAGAGATTATTTCGTGAGGAATTGTAGGGCTAAACACTGCGTGAGTTATTGGGTGTAATTGGGGCTTGGGAAATATTTAGAGTGTTTGAGTGACTCGAGTGTGGCTATAATCTCCATTGTATCGCTTGATCTATAGTGGAATTCCGTGCTGCTCTCCCCATGGACGTAGGTCACTACGACCGAACCACGTAAATCTAGTATCCGATTTATTTTCTTGTTCTATCAAATTTTATTGTTCGATCGCTTGACTTCTACAACAATTGGTATCAAAGCTAGGCTTGCTTAAGTTGAAGCGAATCGATGGCGACAGAAGAAGGAAAAGTGAGAATCGACAGATTTGATGGGAAGGATTTTGGTGTCTGAAAGATGCAGATTGAGGATCATTTATATCAGATGAAACTGCATTTGCCCCTGTTTGGGGAGAAGCCAGAGACGATGATGCAAACTGATTGGGAATTGCTGGATAGACGAGTTTTGAGTGTTATTCGGCTGACGTTGGCTCGTAACGTCGCGTTTAACATCGTGAATGAGAAAACCACTGCGGGTTTGATGAAAACCCTGTCAGACATGTACGAGAAGCCCTCTGCGATCAACAAAGTCCACTTGATGCGACGTCTGTTTAATTTGAAGATGAGGGAAGGTGCATTGGTTGTTGATCATATTAATGAATTCAATGTGATCGTTAGTCAATTGAGTTCAGTTGATATTGACTTTGAAGATGAGGTACGTGCTTTGATTCTATTATCCTCATTGCCTGATAATTAGAATACTACTGTTACTGCTGTTAGTAATTCCTCTGGATCGACAAGTTTGACGTTTGATGATGTTCGAGATTTAATTCTGAGTGAGGACATCCGTAGAAGAGAATCTGGCTAACATGTATCTGCTGCTTTAGTAGGCGAAAGAAGAGGAAGAACTAATACTCATGTTAGCAAAAGTAGTATAAACATGAATAGACGAAGTCAGTCTAGGACTGGTGGTGTTGTTTGTTAGAGTTGTGGCAAGAAGGGGCATTTTAGAAGGGATTGCCGTAAGCTGAAGAATGAAAAGGGTAAGGGAATTAGAGTTGAGTTTGCAGATGATGTTGCAGCTATAGCAGATAGTAATTCGGATAGTGCTGATTTTATCTTGTCTGTCACTGATTATTCGTCATTTGATGGATGGATTATGGATTCTGGTTGTTCTTTTCATGCTACACCAAACAGGAACTGGTTTACTACTTATCAGTGCACGAATAGTAGTAAAGTGCAGTTGAGAAACAACGCTGAATGTGATGTTATAGGTGTTGGTGATGTTAAAATCAGAATGCATGATGATATTGTGTGGACATTGACTAAAGTGAGGCATATTCCAGAGTTGAAGAAAAACTTGATTTCCTTGAGTGCTCTGGATTCAGCTGGGCGTCGGTATTATTCAGAATGTGGACTTCTGAAGGTTGTTCGAGGTGCCTTGGTGATAATGAAAGGAATCAAGCATAGTGGCCTGTATGAACTTCAAGGTGAGACAGTGACGGAATTCGCTGCGGAGACGTCGGATGCATCAGTTCGAGAGTCTGAATTGTGGCACATCCGTTTGGGGCACATTAGTGATAGAAGCCTGAAGATTCTAAGTGAAAGAAATTTGCTATGTGGTTATGTGGCTAACGAACTGAATATATGCAGGTGCTGTGATTTAGATTAACGGTGAAAAGTGCAGTTCAGTACGGTTGTCAGAGAAACCACTAATATTGCAGAATTAATACACTTGGATGTTCGCAGGTTGTCGCGATTTCCTTCGAGGAAGAGTGTCATATTTATGTTAACAGTTGTTGATGACTACTCGTAAAGACTTGGGTGTTTGTGCTTAGGCACAAGTTTGATGCTGTTGTCAGGATCAGGCAGTTAAACGCTTTGATCGAAAAGGAGACTGGTAAAACGATCAAGCAGATGCAGACTGATAATAATATGGAGTTTTGCTCGAAGCTGTTAAATGAATTCTGCATGAAGGAAGGCATAGTGAGACACCGCACTAGTGCCAATAAACCACAACAGGTTGCAGAGTTAATGAGCAGAACATTACTAGAGACGGCCCATAAAATGCTCTCTAGTGCTGGTATGGTTAGGAGATTACTGGCGGATGCACTTAGTATGGCGAACTACCTGAAGAATAGATCCTCATCGACTGCGATTGGATGTCGGACTCCCGAAGAAGTGTGGTCAGGTAACGTTGCTGATTATTCTGTTCTTAGAATATTTGGTTGCCCATGTTATGTTCGAGTTAGTGATGGTAAGCTCGATGGAAGGGCAATGAAGTGGATGTTCCTAGGTTATGCACAAGGTGAGCAAGGTTATAAGTTGCGGTGTCCGAAATTAAATTCACCTGTTATCAGCAGAGAAGTTACATTTGACGAGTCTCCAGTACTTCTGGGTTGGAGTGTTTGTGGCAGTGTTCATACGGATTTGAGCGGTGTTTAGCTTGAGGTGGAGTTGCAACCAGAAACTCCTGAGGTAGCAAGTACTAGCGAAGTAATCGACATAGATGGTGCTTATAGCGAGGTGGAGCCTATTGAGCCCACAGTTGTTGTAACTGCTGAACTTGACAAGGTGCATATTCGATCTCTTGACAGATATAGATGCAATGATGATTTTGCTTTATCTGCGGTTGAGAAGGTTGTGTCGGAAAATCCTTCCAGAGCGGTTAAAGATGCATGTGGAGTTGGTATTCTGATGAGGTCCACGGCTATGACGAAGTTCAAGCGAGACTTGGTCAATGTGGTTCCTAAACATTAGCTCGATATGCAATGTCGTCCACGAACTTTCAATTTATTCAATGTGGTCTCTAAACTTTTGATACATGTTCAATCTAGTCACTGAAGTATATAAAAACATTCAATGTTATCCCTAAACTTAAATTAATGAAATGATGACATTGAACATTTTCATATAGTCATTGGACTAACTTGAAGATGTACTAAAAGCCTGGGGACCACATTGAACAAATTAAAAATTCAGGCATCAAATTGCACATTAGATCAAAGTTTATGAACTATTTACATCATTATTCCTTGCATAAACGCTATCGATTTTGAACAAGTGGGTTCCGATTCGAATCATGTATGCATGACCTATTTCATCTTCTTTGGCCGGCATATGTACACACGACCTTACTAACACCTTTGTAATGATCTTCTCTCTTTTGTCCTTAGTGACCAAGTTATTTTCGGGATCCGTTTGTTTGAAGCAAAATTGTTCCAGTGAAATTATTTTCCCACTTTTTGGTATTTGGGAATGTTTTCTATGGACTGAAAATAATAAGTTTAGATTTAGGAAAAATGACTTCTTCTTATGATAAGAAGGAAGTCAATTTCCCTAAACCAAAAAAAAAAAACAAAAACTAACCACTTTCCTTGAAAATGATTTTCTTGAAAAATATTTTCCTTTAACATGAAGTTTTCAGTGAAACAAATACGCTCTTATATTTGTGATGAATTCTATGTGGCCGTGGAAGTCCATCCATGTAATCTGGATCATCATATTTTATGCTACAAATGTAGACCTTTGGATCAGATCTAAATAAATGGAATAAGCAACTGGTTAAACTGGTTTACAGGTAGTTTTCTACACTGTTCAGCAGTTTCTTATGAAGTAGATATGAATACCAAGCATTTGAAACTTAGGGTTTGGCAACAAATGTTCCTAAGCAAGTAAATAAATGCTTGCCTTTACAACTTGACAAGTTGCTGACGTTGAAAAAGTTATCATTTGTAATACAAGATATTGAAATTCTATTTTCGATATACAACGATATAAATAATTATACTTATTACTATTAGTTAGATTTAATATCTTTTTTAATCACAGAAAATTATGATCACTAGCAAAATTTACCAGCAACAAATTTGTACACATTCAGTTTTTTAGCTTGAAATGTTTTTCGCTTTTGGGGTAATATCATGAAAAATCCCAAAGCAGTACACCTGTGTCAAATTTACCCCAAACTATTTTTTTGACCACTAAAAATCCTAAACTAGTATATCTGTAACAATGTTACCCTCCGTTAGTTTCTATTAAATTTTACCGTCAAAATTCCGAGTTGGATGACACGTGTTAATTGGTGGGTGTACCAGTTTCGGATTTTACCCTCTGTTTGTCATAATTGTACCAGTTTGTGATTTTTCGTGATATTAATTCAATTTAACAGAAGGTAAATTTGTCACAAATGTACCAATTTGGGATTTTTGGTAGTTAAAAAATTAGTTTGGGGAAAATTTGTCACATGTGTACCAGTTTGAAGTTTTTCGTGGTATTAACCCTTTTTTTTTACTAAACAAAGCCTGAAAAGCTACTTTTTTCCGAACTACACAAAGTCCGGAAAGTTATTGACTATGGTGAAAACTTCACTTTGCATATAAAATATGTCCTACTTATAGCAACTTGGATTGAACTGGGTTCGTTAGAAAAACTCCGTCTTTATGATTTTTTTAGTACACATGTTTCACGTCCTTATAAAAAATGCCCTACGCATAGCAACTTCTAACTACTGACACTTTATTATCCCAACTAATTCCTGTAATGTACCGAGAGTCATAGTACACAAAGTCACAAGGATGGCCAGAAACATAAGAACCCTTGATGGACATATATATATATATATATATATATATATATATATATATATATATATGTGTGTGTGTGTGTGTCAATGATATCCAATTCTTTCAAAGACTTCTCTATTAATTCTCAACCTGTTGCTCTTAGATTAAAATTATTACAAGTCCTGTCGAATGGAGTTGATAATAGATGCTGAAGGTCTTGAGCCAGTGAGCCCTGCAGGACAGTATTTCAACAGTAAAGTGATGTCGGTTTCTGTTCTTGCCATGTTGGAATTCGAAATTCCAATCGATGACTTGCAAATTATGTCGCTCATCAAAGATGTTTTCCTCCCAATCAACCCACGCTTCTCTTCGATCATGGTATGTATGTATGTATGTACCCTATGCATAGATATTCACCATTGGTGAATTGACATATGGGTAATTAGTGTTTATCAGGTGATTGCGTGCATGGTCACATATCTTGAATGAATAAAACCTAATTCACTGCACATACTTGGATATTATTTTGGTTTTCTTTTGTCTTGGATAGGTGGTGGGAAAGAAGGGAGGAAGAAAATGGAAGAAGGTGGAAGTGAATGTGGAAAACCATGTACACTTCCCCTGTTTTTCGTCTCCAGAGGGCTCATCATCTCCATCCGATAATGACAGTCTCCTCAAAAGTTACATTTTGCAAATAGCTATGCAACCATATCCAGAAGGCCAACCATTGTGGGAAATCCATATTATCCAGTGTCCAACCAGTGAAGCCCAAGGAACCCTAATTTTCAAGCTTCACCATGCACTCGGGGATGGCTATTCTCTTGTGGGTGCTCTCTTGTCTTGTCTTCAAAGAGCCGACGATCCCTCTCTTCCGGTAACCTTTCCCTCGGTCAATAACTCCAGCTCAGTCAATAAAGATAACAGAAACATTGGACTTCGGAAGGTGCTTAGCAGCTGTTTTTTGCCGCTTGTCGACACTGTAAGAGATTTCTGTTGGAGCGTCTTGAAAAGCACTTGTGTTGAGGATGATTTGTCGCCGATTCGGTGTGGCTCGGAAAAATTCCGGCCTTTTTCAGTGTCGACAATCACGTTCTCATTGGATCGTATCAAAGACATCAAGTCTTGCCTTCGAGTGGTAACAAATATCATTTTGAAGACTATACTAACTCTAGCTTCTTGCATCACATGCACATTACTCGATCTTTTAGCATTTTACTTTTTATGGTACACTTTTCGTCTCCAATCTTTTGCACAATAATGGTTGCCTTCACATAACTAGCTCAAATATATATATATATATATATATATATATATATATATATATTTTAAGTGTTCACAAAATATTTGTAGTTTAGGTGATATTTACTTTAGACGTTTACTATACTCAGTCTGAAAATTAGTATACGGCTAGTATCAGGGTGAACAAGGGTTAATCAAGGAAAATAACATGGATTTACGAATTTAATGCGCATAATGTATTTTTTTTTTAACTGTGTGACGATTTTTTTAGCCACAAGAGCACAACATGACATCCTTGAAAACAAAAAAGACAGTTGAGCTAGAAACTGGTTTCTTTTCATATAGAAAATGAGTTGTAGAAAACTAGTTAATTTCTTCTTCCAAAGATAATTAATATCTTTAGTAGCATTCGACGATACAAATGCAACATTATTTTTTGAACTAGGGTCAAATTGGAACATAGGCATATTTACTCTTTTACTATACAGAAATCTATTAATAACCCTAAGGCTTCGAATCAATCAAAACTTTTGTAACGACTTCGAGGGCAAAATAATAACATATCATTAGTCATTTTTGATTGAATTTTCTCTGTAATAAAACAGACCATCAACGACGTGATAACGGGAGTAATCTTCTTGGCGACTCGATTGTACATGCAAAGAGCAAGCCCAAACTCAAACCTGAGCACCAACTCCACAGCGCTAGTGTTGCTGAATACGAGGAATTTGCGAGATTACAAGTCCCTGAGAGACATGGTTAGACCTAATTCCAAGTCACCGTGGGGAAACAATTTTGCATTCTTGCATGTGCCGATACCGAAGGTGAAACCGGGCGATTCTCAGTTCTCTGATCCTTTGAAGTTTGTCCACAAAGCTCGTGAGGTGATCAAGAGGAAACGGAGCTCCTTCGGTGTAGTCCTCACAGGGAAGCTACTTGAGATCATGAAAAAATGCAGAAACGCAGAGGTAGGTGCATGTCGCGACAATTAATGAATCAGAAATGCTAAATATGCTAAGTCTGATTCACAAAATTGATATGAATGCACTCTTGTTTGCTTGAACTTTGTAGGTAGTAGCAAAGCACATCAGCAGGACATTGAGAAACTCGAGCATGGTCATCTCCAACGTTATGGGGCCATTGGAGAAATTGTCTCTGGGTAATCATCCTGTTAAAGGCTTGTACTACATAGTCGCCGGCGGACCTGAGGTATATTTCGAGTTATCATTAATTTTGATTTCGACCCAGGAGCATAAAGTTACCAATGCTTGATTGGTGGGTCTAAAGTTTTGGTACTGAGCCTCATTTTCCGAGTCGTTACATGCATCTTCTTCCGAAATATTGATATAGATTGCAACTTTTGAGACATCTACGGATCTAAGCACAAACTTTTCTACATGATATCGTAATACATTTTATGCAACAATTACTCTCCTATGCCATCCGCAAGAAGTCGACGGGATGTTGAATTCTAGAATCGATATGTCTTATTTACCATAACACATAATCAGATTGTGAGCGGCCTTCTTCTCCATAAACGATAACGTGATGAACACATGAAATCTATTCTTGTGATTAACTTTTGCAGAGTCTCGACGTAACGATCTTCAGCTATGCGGGAAATCTGAGAGTAGCTGTGCGAGCTGAGCAAGGCTTCATAGACTCCGAGCTGTACACCCGCTCGCTGCTTGATGCGTTTGACATGATCCTTCACGATGCATGTGGGAAGTAGTAGAAGCCATTCCCATTCCTATTATTCCACTGTGCAACGCCTTCCATGAAACCCTAATTCTATTTCCCTTGTTTTTGGCAATGATATTGTTCAAGTGGATGAATCGAGAAATCGAGTCTTGGGGAGCCAAACTAATCCCAAAACGAGGTCTCAAGTTAAAAATTTAACGCGTGACCTGTTATCGCTCTTCCTGTTAAAATGTCTGCTTTTCTTACTTTTGGTTCTCTCTTACATGCAGCTTTTTTTTTCCCTCTTTTCGCAAACTAACGTTGACGCTCGCTCTCAAAACTGAAGAAGAAGATCCTGATGAAGTAAAATTGCGGTTTGGTCGAACCAGTTTCGATATGGGTAGATCTAGAACTGAACACAGAAAGAACGTAATATGCTGACATTTCGCGGGCTTGTTAACCAGCTTCTATAACAGCAGATCATTGATTTTGTGTGATAAAAGAAGGTCGATGATAATGGCTAGTGTATAAACCAAGGAAATATAATTTGATCAAATCGCTATATGACAAGATATGTTTAACTTTGAATTTAGAATATGAGATATGCTACAAGGATTGAAGTCTAATCCCTTGTCTAATCAAGCTCTGGTTTAATGAAAATCGAATTGTAAAGTTGGCTTTTTACTATGCTTGACATCTATGCTCACTTTCATAGTGTTAGGATCGAATAATTCATAAACTTTGGATGAGGATTCATACCTGATAAAAATGAGCTTTCTGCTCTTGTTTTCCAACTTCGATCTTTTCTGGTTCAAGACATGAGCATAGGCAATGCTTCCGTAAACTCTAAAAAAATTTGTAGACAAAAAAAATTTTTGTTGAAGAGTGCTTCCGCAACACTCATCAAATAATTAAATAAAAAATACCGTAATCTTCAATGTTTCGACCAATGAGTGATATGTACAATTTATACTTTGAAAGTCGAATATCTTCTCGGCATGTGTAATAAGTGTGATGACAGCACTGACAAACTAAACCTTTTCATAAAAGTCAATCAGGCAATTGCTTCCACCAATCAAAACACATATTTTTCTTGAGCACGACCATGTGCGCTCTGACAACTTTGCAGTGTATGTTAGGTACACGGGGATGCAGTCGGATGCTTGAAGAGCCTCAAGCACCCAATTGGTGGAAAGAAGCGTGACAATCCTAATCTCACAATTGTTAGGACATGCCCTGTGAACCGACTCGTAAATGATGATTCACCTGTAAATGGCCATCCTTTTGAGTACTCAGCTTTGATCAATGTGGATTGAATTGGGTTCGTTAGAAAAACTCCGTCTTTATGATTTTTTCGGTACACTTGTTTCACGTCCATATAAAATATGTCCTACGCATGGCAACTTCTAACTACCAACACTTTATTATCCGAACTAATACCTATAATGTACCGAGAGTCATAGTACACAAAGTCACAAGGATAGCTAGAAACATAAGAACCATCGATGGACATATCTATATGTGTATGTGTGTGTCAATGATATCCAATTCTTTCAAAGACTTCTCTATTAATTCTCAACCTGCTGCTCTTAGATTGAAATTATTACAAGTCTTGTCCAATGGAGGTGAATTCCCTAAAAAACCTCAAAATTTATGTCAAGTCCCAAATCTGTCACGAAATTTTTTTTGTCTTAAAAAAAAACCCTAAACTCTAGATCAAGTCCCAAATCTTCTTGAACTTTTCTTGTTTCAGAAAAAATCTTGAACTTTAAGTTCAGTCCCAAATCTGTCCTGAATTTTGTTTTATGTAAAAAAAATCAGCAAATTTCAATTTATTTTCAAAAATATATCCTGTGATCCAGTCCCAATTTGACGTGGCACTTCCAGATCGATAACAAATCCTCATCAGCAAAGTAATGGGGTGATAGTTACGGACCGACGTCGTATTTCCACTTCGACAACAAATCAAACCAAATAAAAATTGTTGAAATTCTCCAAAATAAAACCATTTTAGGATATAAAAGTTAGGGACGACAACAAATCCACCCCAAAAACCTTTTTTTAATTAAAAAAAAAAACCTAACTTTTAGATTCAGTCCAAATTTGCTTAGAACTTTTTTTTGTCTAAAAAAAAGCCCCATTACTTTGATGATATGGATTTGTTATCGACGTGGAAGTGTCACGTCAAGTTTGGACCGGATCACGGGGGTATATTTTTGAAAATAAAATTGAATTTTGGTGATTTTTTTGACACAAAACAAAATTCGGGGCAGATTTGGGAATGGACTTAAAGTTTGAGGTTTTTTCTGAGACAAAAAGAAGTTCGGGGTAGATTTGAAACTGGACCTAAAGTTTGAGATTTTTTTTGAGACAAAACAAAGTTCGGGGCAAATTTGGGACTTGACCTAAAGTTGGGGGTTTTTTTAGGGAATTAGGGCCATGCCAACTTCTAACTACCAACACTTTATTATCCCAAGTAATACCTATAATGTACCGAGAGACATAGTACACAAAAGCCACAAGGATGGCTAGAAACATAAGAACCATCGATGGACATATATATATATGTGTGTGTGCGCGCGCGTGCGCGTGCGTGCGTGCGTGCGTGTCAATGATATCCAATTCTTTCAAAGACTTCTCTATTAATTCTCAACCTGTTGCTTTTAGATTGAAATTATTACAAGTCCTGTCCAATGGAGGTGAATTCCCTAAAAAATCCCAAAATTTAGGTCAAATCCCAAATCTGCCCCGAACTTTTTGTTATCTTAGAAAAAAACCCCAAACTTTAGGTCAAGTCCCAAATCAACCCCGAACTTTTTTTTGTCTCAGAAAAAACCCCAAACTTTAAGTTCAGTCCCAAATCTGCACTGAATTTTTTTTATGCAAAAAAAATCAGTAAATTTCAATTTATTTTCAAAAATATATCCCGTGATCCAGTCCCAATTTGACGTGGCACTTCCATGTCGATAATAAATTCTCATCAACAAAGTAATGGGGTGATGAAGTGCTGCTAGAAGAGCAAAGACCGGGAACATTGAATCTTGCATTGGGTTCTGTTGGAGTTCTTGTTGGCTGGGGCCAGGTAGATGTGTCGGGCATTCCAAATCGTGGTACATTAATTATCATTTCGTCTGGAAGACCAAAATTCCATGGAACCGGTGCAAGTGGTCCACCCAAGGGTCTCATTTTTTAGGTGAATGGACCGGAAGTGGAGGCTGTTGTCTTGCATTGAAATCTGCAAGAGCTTGTCTGACAGCATCCCTGGTTGGTTCGAATGCCTGTGAGTAATCCCATGGGACTTCTTCATCGTAAGCACTTGGCCAAATAAAGTGTTGCAATGCCTGTGAGCTTGTCTGGCCATCCTTATGACTTTGTGTACTATGACTCACGGTGGACTATAGGCAGTCATGGCCACGGGCCGGTTTTGGTCCGGAACCGGCTCGGTCAAACCCGGGCCCGGCCCGTTGACCGGGCCCACGATTCGAAACCGGAACCGGCCCATGGCCTATGGGCCCGGTTCCGGTTCCAACAATTTTGGAACCGGCCCGGAACCGCCGGTTCCGGTTCCAAATTATTTAAAAATAATAATAATAATGAAATTTAAAAAAAAATTCATTACTTAATTTTTTTTATAAAACAATATGAACTCTAATTGCCATGCATTGTAAGTGCATTGATCTCTAATTACAATGCTTGGCTTGGGTATATTGAACTCTAATTACAAGGCTTGACTTGTGTTTTATACACAATGATTCTAATGCCTCTTCGTTCCCATTTGATGTGGGACTCTCGGCTTGCCTTGAACACCTTCAATATGAGACTCTTGGCTTGTCTTCATGCAAATGCCAAGAGTCCCACATCGAATGGGAATGAAGAGACCATCAAAGGGATTGTGTATAAAACCCAAGTCAAGCCATGAGCATGTGAAGTTATATGCATTTTGTGGCTACGATCCTTTGCTAGTTAAGAGCAAAGGGTTCCATTGGACCGCCTAGAACTGGACCGGGCCAATGGTCCAGTTTCCGGTTCTATGATTTGCTGGTCCGGTTCCTAGTTCTAAAATTAAGGGACCGGTCTTACCGGTTCGGTTCCCGGTTCCGAGCGGAACCGGACCGAACCGGGAACCAATCACCCTTACAATTTATATTTTGATTACAATTCATTATTTCATAATTTTATAATTCATTATTTTTTTTATTTCATAATTTATTTTTAAAATTTTTAAATTACGAACCGGAACCAGCCGGTTCAAAATCGGAACCGGAACAGGCCGGTTCCGGTTCACACATGGCCACGAACCGGAACAGCCGGTTCCGAACCGTGGCCATGCCTAACTATAGGGATTAGGTGGACAATGAAGTGTTGGCAGAAAAAAGTAGCTATATATAGGACGTCATCTGCAGGAAAAATTGGACGGAGTTTTTCTAACAATCCAGTTTGATCTACGTTGGCTAAACTTAATATTCAAAAGGGTAGCCATTTAGAGATGAATCATTTTTTACGAGTAAGTGGATATTACATCTCCTATCAAATGTGAGACTTGGGGGTGTTCCACTTTTTTCCATGTGCTTGAGGCTCTTCAAGCGTCCGATTGCACCCCCTTGTGCCTAAGACACGGCACGTTGCCAAGGTGCTCAAGTTCGTGCTCAAGACAAGTATGCGTTAAGATTGATGGGAACACTTGCCAAACTTCCTCTTTGAATTATAAAGAAGGGTTTTGTTGGTGAGTGGTCTTGTAGCACTTATTACACATGAAAAAGGAGGTATTTGATTTTCAGAGTAGCAATAGTACATATCATGAGAACGGTCAGTGCATCAAAGATTACAATATTTTCTTATTCAGTTGTTTACTAAGTGTTATGGAAGCACTCTTCAACAAAATCTTTACACTAACATGCTGATTCTCTTCAACTATGCTCCCATAAAGTTCCTACCAAAGCACGGATAAGTTGTTGTCCTCTGCCTTTTTTTTAACAGTTCGCCCCTACTACAAGAATAGTGATTGACCATGATTATATGATCATCAAGATGTAGTCACATGATCACATAATGTAATCTTACCATAAAACAGCAAGAGAACCACCTCATAACAGCAAAAATCTCAGAGGATCAAAGTAAATTGAGAAAATATAAAGACAACCAAAAGATTTTTTCCCTTCAACACATGAAGAAAAAGAAAAGGTTGACTGAAACCTAATTATTGTTATCTCTCTTCTTCTTTTTCTTGCAATTAGGGATTCAGTAAGAGTAC